TTCAGGTATATGAAAAAGGTTATAGAATTTATTCCCCAAATTTTGAAAATATTATAGTGCACTTGTGAAATATATCATATATATAAGACTTTAACTGATAACATTTCATCTATTTTTAATGTGATTGTGGGCAAGAAGTCAATTTCATTAAATCTAGGCGAAATGTAAACATTATATGAGTAGTACATTACATAGGAAGATTCGGAATATAAACTAAAATGATTGCAAAATAAAATGAATTAGGATCAATTATTATTAGGTATGAGTTGGAAAAAGATCAATTGTTTGAACAAAGAAAAGTGTACGAGTTCGTATTGCATAAGAAAGTGTATAAATATATATTATGTGTTCTAAAAATGTTGTTGTTGTTGTTGTTGTTATACAAATAGAAGGTTTCAAAAAGGCTCCGATTGCGTAGCCTAAGCTTCACACAATAAACTTCAAGTTTAAAAAAATTATAGAATTGGATAAGTGCTTCACAAGTTGCGATTACATCGCAGAGTGTTCACCTTCTAATATTTTATTAAAATATCCTAATTTCAGAGAAATTCTTTAAACCATTATTTTCTATTTTTTATCATTTCAATTTTTTTTTACATTTTTTATATTTTTATATACATATTTATTCATTTCATCTTGTGGGGCCCTCCAAATGTGGGGGCCCCAGGCCGCGGCCCTGTCGGCCCTGCTGTTAATCCGGGCCTGCTTACAGGTGAGGACAAGCATTTATCACAGTGAGGTGAGTACCTTTTATCTTCATTTGATCCGCTGGATTTATACAAAGCAGATTTTGTAGAAAGTTTGGGTTTAAAGCCAGTCTCTGTATTTTATGCTAAGAATTAATTTTTTTTCTAAAAAACTGCAACTTTTTCTTAAAAAAACGATTTTTAACTCTCAGGTTGGAGTAGTTCTCACTTTCTGCCATCACCTATTTTTCTTTCCATAGACCCAGTCGGAAAAGTAGTAATGCATTACATGCATGATAAATAATCTAATGTATTTCTTATGTGTTCTTGATAATATTACTGCTAACTATGTAATCAGCATTCTAATGTATTCAAAAAGTTCTAGATTTTACTCCGAAATTAGAAAAACAATTTCGTAAAATGTCGAATGAAATTTCGAAGTTAACCTTTAGAATAGTAATACTTTAGCTATCTAAGAGCCTAAGACTTCCACCTTGACTTAAATTAAAGGTCTTGAATAGCACTAAAACAGACTTGTTACTCGAGGCATAAAAATTGTGTGAAGGATGCACAGCTGCATGCAAATAAAAAAATTCGATATATAATGCATTTTTCAAATTGAAGGGTTGAATTTTTTCGCTTTTAAACAGTGGAATCGTGTTTCTCATCTCAAAATCTAT